GATAGCACACGGCTGCCTTCTTGGCACCGAGGGCATCGAGCCAAGACCGTTGGAGTTCCTCCAGAAGAGGGCTCTTCTGCTCCCGAAAATTTTCACACCAAATTGAAAATGACGGCGCTTATAGATTCATATGTATGAGATTAGATGCGCCAACGCTACTATACTTCTTCTTAACTTTCTTCCACGGCTAGCTAATCATCATGCTAGCACCGTCAAAGTGCAAGAGGTCTGAAACTTTTTTATTCCGCAATCCACAGTATTTACAATAAAGTGCAATTGATCCTTACCAAACGCCATGTCACCCACCGGTACAACTGGATTCACCAGCCGCAACCCTTACTGAGATGCCACATAAGAAGTTTTGAGCTCTCAGTATCACTAGACTCTTTAAAAACGGTCATCAGCCAGTGTCTGACCACCTCGGAGTTGAGTGTTTAAGAATAACTGTCTCTGCAGCGTCAAACCATAATTATCAATTACCTTTCACTACTTATCATTCTCTTCACTAAACTCTTCCCGCTCTCCTTTGTCAGTAGAACCTGACCGTCGCTGACGCATTCCCACTGAGGATTCTACAACTTTTGCCAACAGTTTTTCAAGGCGACTGAATGGTTACTGTTCCAAAAAGAATAAAGGCCCAATGAGATGAATATCTCTTTTCCACCGCTATCAGTTACGACAGGGGCAGTGTCGAAGCCTACCGCAATCTATTCGGCACAACAAATTTACTGGAGGTCTAAAAATCTTTTACGTGGGATACTCTCGCTTTACCAGCAAAATTCTCAGGACATGCAAATTTTAGAATTTAGAGCTGTTACCGGTGAAGTAAACCAAAATTTGACAGTGATATTCTAGTCATCTGACTTACTTACGTAAAAATGGGACGCAAGACTAGTAGAAGTGAATTCTCTTACAGTTACCTAACGCAGAAGATCCTCAGTAGAGATTACAGAATACAACGTTTGGGTACTTTTTCTATAGAAATAGCTGACCTAAAATTAGTGGGGTGAGGGTGGCGCAGCACTTAAAGTTGACCTTTAAAACAAAAATTTTAATCTTAATGGCTCCTGTAGCTTCTTTACTGTATCATTACCATATTTTTGATTAAAACTAACAACATTTCCTTTGATTAGCAAATCACAGAGGTTAACATTGTTTTGCTAAACCCATTAACACGCTCCAATTAGAGCTACACACAGTCACTTCTTATTTTAAATCTTCGTTGCCTCAAACGGTTATCCTCTGATTCCACCTACCCATACGAAAGAGTTAAAAACAGGCAGAACAAAACCAAAAAAACTTGGAGCTCATTTAGACTGGTGGTTCCATTTTTTTCTTGTAGCTCCTTGCATGAGCTAGCAGCAGCTGAGCAACATACAGTTGCTCTACCTGCCGACATGCAACATGACTAAAACCTGCTTTCTAAACGATTCCTTTTATAAATGTGACCGTTCAAGTGCCGACGGGTTTGCGCGAGGAGCTACAGTGCCGCGGAAGTTTACCAATACACTTCACAAAGAAATAGGAAGAATGCATGTAGGCCGCTCTAGACTGTCGAACAACTTAGGGATGTGGTGCATAATTAAATTAACTAAAGTACTAGAATTATAAGTTATGTATTTTTATGCGCAGGGGGTACCAAAGCAATTTAGCACTGCTGAAGCAAATCAGTGCATTTACCCAATCTCCGACTCACCGAGAGTTGCTAACATTTGCTTTAAAGGCACAAAAGCAGCTCAAGTTTTGCAATAGCATCCTCCATCGAAAAGATTTCCCGAAAAGTGGACTGCACTGCATGAAAAGTCACAATTACCTGCGCCTAATGACAGCTCAACATCTACGCAATTTAGTGCGTACCAGAACAGCTTTTGAGCGACTAAGTAAAGGAGAAAAAGAGGAAGAAAGCTTCTTGAGCTCCGTTCGCTTCATTTGCCTCCCGCTCTTCTTTACCTGTATTCTAAAGAGGGACCATCTGCTGTTTCTTCAGTTTTTTCCCTCTCTTCACAAAAATGCATCCATCGGTCGTCTTATAGTCGAAGGGACCATCTAACGGCAATCAGTTGGATAAACAAACCAATTTCATTTTTTCTAAATCCAGAAAAGAACTTGCAGAGGTCAGTCACCTTCAATGTTTCCCATATCTTTGTTTGCAACCAACTCCAGACAGGTTGAGTCGACTGTGCATCAGAGAAGTCAGTAGGTACCTCTCACCGTTGTCAGTGAGTCAGACATACTGTATATGGCGTCCGTATACTGTACAAATAAAGCAGGCTTCTGATTGGTATCATTCCATCCAGCCAATCAGCATGATGAGACCACCAATCTAAATGAGAGCCAAAAGCTTGACGAAGTAATACGTGGCATGTCATTTCAGATCCCTTCACGGCTTTTGAAATCTGTTCGACAATCCCTTTTTTTATTTCTTTGTTTGAAATTGGTGTTAAACAGCGGACAGCGAATCCCTATATAGAAGTACTTAAAAGGGTGAGTTATGTTGTGGACTTACTTGGAAATCACTGGAATGTGCTCGCCATTCCCACTATCCTTCTAAATAAAAAAATTCAGCTCCCCCGCAGTACCATTCTAAAAGTAGACCAGTTGCAGACCAAAATGAGAGCCAAAACGAAACTCACACGACCCTTTCCAAAAGGTAAAGTGATAAAGCACTTGGCTACTGCTTTTCTGTGGCACAACTGCGGCAAAAAATACGCGCATAAGATCTCATGAAGAATTATTCTAATTTTTTTGCCTCACCTCCAATTTTAATGAGACGTGATACTTAGCTTAAGCTCCTTGGACACCAAAATTTTTCAATATTCATTCATATCTATCACAGTAGAAAACTTGATTAAAAAAAACCATAAAGAACTGTTACTAGCTGCACGGTGTAACAGTTTTAGGTTATAAAGTGTTATAGATCTAATGTTAACACTAAAAAGCAAAAAAACGGTGAAAAAACCAAAAGAAAGCCAGGAGGACATTTGGTGAAACAACCAACGCTGTCAGGACAAACTAAAAAACTGCATTTTTACTCCGCATCTGCTAAATACTTTACTCTTTTTTTAGGAGTCACCGCTGTAAAAATTCAATTGATTCTAAACCTCTCCACGCCTATCGGAAGCAGGCTTTTGAAGCGGTCAACTTATTATAATAACTGCTTTGCATAATGCACCGCTGTATTTGACGAACACAGTTTAACAAATTATAAATACTTCTGATTCATGAACTTAAGTTAAAGGCAGTTCGTAAATAAGGTTTTGCAGAACTCTTAGAGAGCAGGACATTCTAAAAATACAGGCTCCACACGGTTTGCTGTAACACAGATTGAAAACTTCCATGGGCTCTATAGTCGAGGTTTTTTTCCAGGTAAGTTTCAAAGCAAAGCCAAAACTAGCCTTTTTACATCTACAAAAACCAAAATATCACTAAATTATTAGTACCAAACACTGTAAAACACATCACTAATCGCAACTTTTTCCACAGTTTCCAACTTAGGAACGTCTGTAATATTTGACTGTAGCGACATGACTTTCTTGATCATCACAGAAGTAGCGGAGCTACATCAGTGGTAGTTCCACAGCAAGTTGACTGTTCTTCTCCTTAGCAACCAAAGACTCATCAGTTTTCTGCAAATTTTTCACTGTACTGACTAAAATTACACTGTTCAAAATTGGGCACCCAACAGCTAAGGAAAATCATAACAATGGATTCGTAACAAAATTTCATTGCTTTTCCGCAACAGTCATTCCTCTCCCCTCTAAACTACTTCTGACCTTCGCCTTTATTCGGCAGGTATCCAATACCAAACACAAGTCACTCCTAAATTCCTTTCACTAAAATGCCCAAATTTTAAGAACCCCGCAGTGGATGATAATCCTAACAACTATCATACTTAAAAGTACCATAACAATGATAAAAATTAAAGTCTTCTATCTCTGAACTTATGCTTACGTAATCTCCATTAAGCTATTTTCATTATAATTGATGTCTCACAAATAAAACAAGTTAAAGCAGTGGTAAAAAACCGCCAAACCAGAAACCTTTCGTTTACATCTAGGTTTTCTAATCGACGCAGCTCCTTGAATACTTGTCTCTTTCACTTCGTCGTTATTTTTCGAATGTTTGAAGCGGAACTGATCTATTTCCGCTATCAAATCTGGGAAACACAACCTCATTGTCTCGATCCACGCATTTTGGAGAAATTCGGAACTAAAAATTTTATCCTAATGCTGCATTTCCAACAAATGAAGTTTCAAAAAACCCTTCCAAATGAACGATTGAAAGTATTTTGCTGAAAAGTTAATCTATAACAAGCAAATACTCAACTACTACTAGCCTATTTGAAAAATTTGCAATCTGGGTTTGTGATACGAAAACTGCAAGCTACCACTTTTTTGAACCATATCTCTAACATAAATTATTCTCTGCGATCAAAAACCAATGTAATTAACCTCTACAATTCGAGAAACTTTTGAAATAGATTTCGACTTTGGTGATGGCAATAAAGTGGATTTTACTATACGGTTTAGGAGAAACTGATCAGTTAAAAGAGTCGCATTAATTTAAATGCAAAATGCAAACAAAAAGTAAAGTTCAGCTATGATTATTTAAAAAACGAATTTAGTCACACCAAAACAGCAGCTGAAATTTTAAATGAAAACTACAGAAAATGCGGAACAACACTCATTGCCTCTCCACACTATAAGTCGCTGCAGTCAATAAAAACTTTATTGCTGCCGAATCACAAAGATTAAAAAAATCTTATGTTTATCACTAAAAATTGAGTTTGCTATCTGTCAACCGCTTTGACCTTAGTTTACTTCTAAAAAAATTCATGCAAAAAGTGTGTAATATTATAAATTCTAGAAGAGGTCAAGACATGAACAAATGATCAAATAAACTAACTTATTATCAATTAGTTTTCCTCCACCACTTGAATGTTTAGCTGCTAAGTGTGTTCGAACATGTGCTGCTTCACTGCTTGAATAGTGGCAAATAGAACACAAAAATTGTTTCTCCTCATGATGGCGCTTTGCATGATTCATTAACGCAGACCTTGATCGGCCTGATGATATTGACTTTTTGCAGAGCTTCAATTAAGCTATGAAAACTTTATAGCAAACAAAAAACTAAGAAAATCTTTTAAAAATTTCTACTGATCCTAGCCAAGAGTTTACCTTTCAAAATTTTGGCTCAAATTCTTCGATGGAGCCTAAAATAGGCCAGCATACAAATGCAAATTTGAAGTGAACTTAATAAACGGTCACAACTACGCTTATGGCTTTCCATCGATCATTTCATTACTCATAATAAATAGGTATATTTTGTTACTCGCAACAGCATAATTCTTCTTTAATAAAAAGAGCGTTTTCCTATTCAGACATCTTTTTCTTGTTGCCTTTCGCGGGTAAACAGAAAAAACAAAACACAGATCCTTTGAACTCACAAAAGTCATTTACCATCTAATCTTTGAAATTTTAATTACCTTCTTGACACCTGAAACCTATCCCATTATCCAAAAAAAAAACCACTTTTACAGTCCTATAAAGAAATTCAGGATGTTTGTTGAAATCAAGATTTTTGATAAATGCCTAGCAGAAATTTACCTTACACTGTATTTGGCCATTAGATTCACTTTTCACACTTGGACCACAATATTCATCGCTGATTACTGGAGAAAACCTTCCTTCGTCATTTTGCACTAAACAGTTAAGTTGAGAAACCGATTCTTCTTCCTCGCCTAAAAAGGAGAAAAGAGTACGTCTTACCTATATAGTCAGACAAGATAAATCCAAAGCGTTCAGAAATATACATTTTAGCAAAAAAACCCAGCATAATAGACATGACTTGACATATTATTCAATAAAAACACAACTTACCAGGTCTGAAGCATTCTTCAATAAAAACCTTATTACTTCCACTGGGTAGAATTTTGACACCCAAATCTGCAGCTTTTTCCTTATGAATACGCATAATATGTAACCTCACTTTCCGCTAGAAAAGTATCAAAAACTGCATTTGAATAACTGAATTAACTACAAGCCTGAGTAAACTTAGCCAGCCTTTGAACGGTGGAATATCGATATACGTTCAAATATAAGCACACTTTTTTTCATTTCCACAGATATTTAATAATTCCAGAAGAATCATGGCATACCTCACATGCAGCCGTGTATCCGCACTCCTCGCATTGATATAGTATAAAATCACCTTTATGCACCCTTTCTAGATGTTCTTCTAGGGCATCCGACACAAATTTCTGTTTACGGTACAAACAGGGCCTTTGTTGATCGTTATTAATGGGTTTTACTCTGGTCTCTTCTAAATAGCTGTTTTCCGATGCAACCTAAATCACCACTATTTACCGATTAGCTCTTCTACAGCATAATACATCTCATCATAATCATACCCATATTTCATTTCCCATAATGAAATGTTTCCGATATGAGAAATGCTACACTGTGCGAAGTAAAACTCTAGCATGTCAGAATTGTTCACAAAGTATCTGAGGAAAAAACAGTAAACTGAATACAATAAGTGACTTTTAAGTATCCAGGGAAACACTGCTCCATCAACGAATCCCATTGATCCTGCATTTCTTGGGTAAAAACATTCATCGGCTGACTTTGGTTATCTTTATGATTATGCTGCATATGCAGTCGCACCTGCAAGTCACGATACTGCCAAAAACGAACAGTCAAAAAGCAATGCAAATATACCCTCAACATGTCTGAGCCAGTTTCATTAAGCTATGCAAATATACCCTCAACATGTCTGAGCCAGTTTCATTTTGCTTCTGTTGAATAAATGAATCCAGATTAATCCAGCAGGTTAGACAAGCATAGAAAAAAAGGTTAGTGAAAACTTACGCTAAGAAATGAAAAAAAAGCCTTACCTTCGCCATTTCATTGTGCGTATACGGGCAGTGTAAGCATCGAAACTGCTTCAGAGTTGCATGTCGTCGAACATGATTTGTCAAATTCGAAAATCTACTAGACATAATTTTGTTCTGGCACAGATGGCAAACCGCAAACATTGAAGGATCATCACCGTTCGTTGATTTGGTATCTCGTGGACGGGGTGCGAACATCACAGGCGACTGTGCTGGTCCCGATGAAGTCGCCGGACTAAAACTTATGTGTTCGGACCCAGATGGTGATGAACGATAAGAACGCTCATCGTTTACTGTTTTTGATGCAGCCGTACTGCTCATAACAATTTCTTGATTTTCCGACGGTGAACACCCAAGTTCTGTACGGGAGACTGATGACGGTCCAATTGCCGGTAAGAAAGCATTTTCGCGTATTTCTTTTACAAATGAAACTTCGGGAAATCCACTTTTTAACTGAAAATGAGAGACAAGTACAAAGACCCTCCTTAAGTTTTAGGCAAAAATGGCAGCTTTTTTGTACTTTATCTGTTCATTCCAAAAATAGTAGTGTTGTTTAGTGCACACATTTTGAGCGTATCCTTCAGCATATTATTGCCGTTCAGGATTCCATATCGTAACCATAAATACTTCCGACAATTAAAAGTCGTTCATCGAAAAATTTTCACGAGAACGTAGCCTTAAACGGCGTTGTTTATTCAAATTTGTTCCGGTACGTACAGTTTAGCTTCAGCTTTTTGTAATTTTAAATCACTCCAAAAATGTTCAACTGTTAATGCCCTTCCAGTCTCCCCCAGTCTGAAGTACCCAGTGCTTGCAAATCTTTCAGTTTAGGTAAGCTCCATGAAGTTCTAGCTTCAACTCTTTCAAAAAACCCTTTCTCAACGGTGCAACGCCTCGAGCTCATTCGGATTGAGAAGGATAAAAATAACAGCAAGCGACTGGCTCACGATTTTCCATTCTCTTGTCCTTAATGGAAAAAAAAAAAATCACCTTCATTGTCAGAAAACCAAAGCGCAATTTATCCAACGCAAAAAATAGCAAGCGACTGCTATTTCCTAAAGAAACACATCTACAAACCAAAAGATGAATAAAAGGTCTCACAGCCTGCTGCAGTTAAGGGGTGCTCATCAATTCAAAAATGCTCTTTACTGTTAATTCACCTTCATTTCTTGTAACTAGAGCTCTAAATCCCGCTTAACCTAAATTCGGTAATCCAACACCTCTCCAAGCTCTTCTGCAAAAGGTAGCAACTGAATTATTCGACTATAAGGTGTTTGGTGCAATCCCCCAAATCAATTTCTGTTCTCCTGCATATTTCTGCAGTTCGAAAGCTCTCATAGTCTAAATCTTCAACAAAAACAAATGACAAAAAACTTCTGACCGAAATTGACACTAAAGGCTTCTCTCCTGTATATATATATATATATATATATATATATATA